ATACAGGGAATACACAGTTCGGACAAATCAGAACTTTTAAATTCCATTCCAGTCACAAGGGTTTTCAATTTTTCCATGTAATTTCTACTTAAATGCCTTATGCTTAAATGCCAAATATTCTTCTTCTTCTTTTAAATGTTATGACTCCATCGAAATAATCAATGATTTTGCCAATGTCAAGTAATTATAACTATGTACGGTAGTTTAATATTATTATAAAAATTATACAAAAAAATGGCGATTTCGCCAATGTCCTGTCTAGTCTCGCCAAATATTCGAAAAATTTTCATTTTGTTTTGACAATGTCAAATTGACGACCTTGTTTTTCTTTTCTTCTAAAGGTAGGCGTCCACAGATCCGTAGCGCACGCATCGGACGGATCGCATCAAACGGCTCCATTTGTCAGTGCGTCCACTGGATCCGCAGTAATCGGATTGCTGACGCAACTACTAGCTATTGATTGCCGACGCTACTTTTCGAAGCGAGCGGACGAGTGTAACTTGTGTATGCGAGACAATGGATTTGGAAAGTGATGAAGAGCAATTTGTCGTGGTGGTTTGTTTGCTGGCAGAAAAAGAAAGAAGGAAACATGATATCTGGATACATGACATATTTAAGAAGAGATCGCAACATGGAGACATACGCTATTTCCTGATTTGCTAAACGACGACGTGAAATTTTTTTTAGCATTTTCGTACGTCTCATACTAAATTTACTACTTTTCTTAACAAATAGCATATGACGGCCGGCGCGGCGCGGCGGCGCGCGTTCGGGGTGCGTCCACTGATAACGCAATCCGTATGACTTCGTCGGCACGCATCGGAAAAGTTGCCCCTCTGACCAACTTTACCGACAGGCCGGTGCGTGCGATGCGGATCAGTGGACTCAGTTGTATGAACTTCTATACAAAGAATTCGAAAATCCGTATAATGCGATCCGTGCGATGCGTGCGCTGCGGATCTGTGGACGCCTTTTTTTTTTTTTTTTTTTTTTGACGGGGGGGAAATCTTTATGGATACCCCTGAGCCCAGGGAGACTCAGGGGTTATGTGGGGACTCTCCCTCCAGACTGGAGGGCCTACCCCACTAAAACCCCCCCGGGTTTCCCTCTCGCCGGTTGAGTCGGCGCCGTGGGATCGGTGAACATTCACCACGACGCCGCCCGGCCGCCCTAGCTTGCGCCAGGGCTCCCGCGCCAACGGAGGGGCGAGTCGGTTGTCCTCCGACCCGCCCCCCAGACGAGTGAGGCCGTGCAATGCAGGCTCCGGAGTCCCTGTCCAGAGCCCGCTGGCCTTACTAGGGGATCAGGCGAGCAGCGAACTGCCTGCGCCTTCTCCCCGTACGTCTGCGCCGAAGCGGGTGCGCGTCCGCCGCGTCCTCGCGCACCCGCTCCGCGGCCTCCTTTTGCGACATAACCTCTGCGCAAAAGGAAGCCACCGCCTCCCAGGACTCCTCGCTATCGAGCATGGCGGCAACCACGCTCGGCAGCGAGAGGTCCTGCCCTAAAGTCCCCGTCAGAGTGCGGCGCTGCTCATCCCACCGGCTGCACACCTCTAGGGTGTGCTGCGCGGTGTCATCCGCAGCGCCGCACTCGTGGCACGACGGGGACGGTGATCTGTGGACGCCTACCTTAACTCATAAATTCCGTCAACTTCATGACAACTTGCAACAGTTCGATTCTTATTTTGAATTGTGCAACCTCCTTTGTCAAAATTAATGCAATAATTTTTCTTGGTTAAATCGCTTACCGAAATTAAATTCATGGATAAATCGGGAACACGTAAAACGTTATTCAAAAGTAATTTTACGTTTTCGCCGACTTGAGTTTCAGCGTTCCCTCGTCCTTGTACTCGTAGCTTTTTAATATTCCCTATAGAGATTTTCATGTTGCCTTTTTCTGGTTTGTATGACAACAACTTTCTCTTATCATGAGTCATGTGATTTGACCATCCACTATCCAGATACCACATGTTTTTATTAAACGCCTTCTTCGCATTGAGGCAGGCATTCGCGGTTTTCTTCCGCTCTGTGCCTTATGTCCTTGCTCGTGACAGTTATAACACTTCCAAAAAAATGTTTGCTTACGATCATTGATTTTAATGTGTGATCTAGCATTTTTCTGTGTCTTTCTCGTCATAAGGGTTCGTGGTCTGTGGCTACCTCCTTGCTTTGTCTACTACCTTCTTGTAGTAATTTGGTCTTAATCTGCTCCAACGTGAGCTCTTGACCGCTGTTATCTACAGCCATGATTGAGGGGCCGTACTCAGGGGTCAATTCACCGAGCAAAATCGATATGATCCAGTCGTCTTTAATTGGTGAATCGATATCTGCCAACTGCTGTGCAAGGAACACTATTCGCGAGATGTATTTTTCCATAGATTCAAAGTTTTGTAGTCTACTATTAAAAAGATCTCGCTGAATGGAAATTCGTCGACCCCAGCCTTTATCTTCGTAAGCCTTTTGTAGGCTACTCCAGGCCTCCTTGGCAGATTTAGCATTGAATACATGGGTAAAGCATTCTGGTTCTAATAATAAACAAATAGTCGTTCGTGCTTTACAGAGGGACGTAAAGACGCGTATGGGCGAGGTACGTCAAAGTCGATGGGAAAAGCTTCTAGAAGGGCTCGAGCCCACCCACCAATCCTTCCGTTCTCTCAAGTCCGGCACGATTGCCCAAATGCCTCCCCTAAACCGACCCAACAGGACCCCAGCATTTGACGACGAGGAATAGGCTGACAGCCTCGAAGCCCAGTGCTCCCCGAGCTTAGAACCGATAGACCCGACTCTTTTCCAGGTGGACTCCCAGATCGAACTCAGAGCAACCTCCACATAGATTTACGACTCCCCACTATAGCCCAATTCATGAAGCAGGCATCGAGAAAATACTTCGACTCTGCTTCTCACCACTCCAACCCCTTCGTGGTGGCTGCATCCAATTACGACCCCCTCAGGGAACATCCCCACTTCGTACCTAGGACCCATCGGCCAAGGGAAGTCCTCAACGACCCTGACGACCCTATCACTCTCGCCATTTTGAAGGTCAACCAGATCGTAAATCAGTTCATCTCCACACGTCCTCGCCGGCGAAGTCTTAGAGCCCCTAATTTCAGCACGTACACTGGGAGATTCTCTCTTAAAACACTTCTGGCGGAAGTATTCAATAGCGCCCTGAGCCGAGGTCCATGCCCACTTGGCGCCCTCAGGCCCGCTACTTAGTTTTTAGTTTATTTTAGGGGTTAAGAGCCTTCAGCTCGCCCTTTTTTGGCGCAGTCAAGGCCATCAGGGGCCAACTGCAAAATATCCTTCACAAAAAAAATTATCGAATGCTTAGGTAGTCTCGATTCTACCATACTACAGTTTCCAGGTGGAAGCTCCACTGGGTGGGACTACATTTGGGACTGTAATACGGCTATTATTGAGAGAAACGACACCTATGTTAACAGTTAACACCTATTGCTTCCACCTGCTGGGACTCTAGGCAAACGCGGCGTTACTTCAATGCTTCAGCTATTAGTTTATCTGTCTGTACTGTACACCATAACGCACAATAAAAGCACGTACCGTTGTAATGGTCGTACACATTTGGTCATACCTACTTCGCTCCGTACTGTTACAATACCAAATTTTAATTCAGTAGCAGTAGAGGTCCTTGTGAATGTTCGTCGTTTCTGATGCCAAGCAGTAATGTGAACATTAATTACTGTATTTCGGTTTTGAAAGGTAAGGGTGCAGGTGCAATTACAGGCACATGGGACATGTCAACTTATGTCTCAGGGTGACGGGCGCAATGGCAGTGCCCCGTCCTCAGATCTTTGCGATTTAAAGCTCTGAGGACACTGCAATTGTTATGGACAGGCGTGTAGCTTTACCATCAGGCGCACGACTCGTTCGTCACTGGATAGTATAAAAAAAAAATTTCATTATCGGGATTCCTTTTTTAGCGTTTAGGTATTCGAACCTTAAAAATCATTTCCCTGAGGCAATGAATAAAACTGACAAATGTCATTGTAGCCAAACTGCATTCTTCTTCTTCTTGCAATCTTCTGTGACACTGGCCCAAGCGTATTGTCTTAGAGTAATAATAAATTTCTGTTTTCTCAGAGGTTTCTCTATGTGTTATCTATTTAAATTAGCATTCTTACATAGGTTTATTATTTATTTATTTACTTATTTTTATTTTATTTAATCCATAAGAAGTGGTGTGATGTCAAGTGATTCATTTCAATGTTATATATAATACCAGTGAGCATACTTACAAGTATAATATCATTGTTTAATACAGTATTTTGTATATGGTATTTTGTATAAACGGAGGTTATTAAAATGATAGACGAAGAAGATATAGACATAGACAAATTCATTGAAAATATTTCGGACCACTATCTCGCCGGACCGTCCTCACAGAGTGGGCCACCTTTACAGGTACATATTACAGAACACGTAAAGTTTTCGTAAATAATTCAAATTTAATCAAAAATATAGAACATAATACAATAATTTTGGAATATCAAGAGCAGGTAACATCCTCTGTATGCGTATAACGTAAAACTTAGGTAAGCATTTGGCGCCCTCGGCGGCGCAACGGTTTAAACTGTGGCCGCTGGATGAGAAGGTCCCGGGTTCGATTTCCGGTAGGACCAAATTGGGAAATTAACTTACGTATATCGGTTCTGGTTCGGATGTTCTGGGAAGTACCCCAGAGTGAATTCCGTTGCTCTGTAGGGCCAGCGGTGATTTTTTGGGTGAGTTTTGAGTTGGTGATTACGTCACAAAAGCAATCTACAATCAAAATCATGTTTCCAGCTCTAGTAGTTCTGTATGTACTTCGAAAAGTAATTCGGGTTTTACGGGTTGTAAAAAAGGACGTGGGAATTTTTTTAAACAACCCATATCTGATTTGCTGTTTTTTCCCAGTAGTACCTATTAAATCTCGAGTAGTTGATTTCCGATTTTTCTATACTAGTATCATTGAGTTTATGAAGGATTTCTACTTGTCCCCAGACATGGTACAGCCCGACCAAATGGCACGGTGTGGGTCACCTAGCACTGACAGTGTACGGAGCAAAAGGACTGAGCGCGTCAGGCTTTAGTGGAAAAGTTGACGCGTACTGCGTCTTCGAACTTGACAACTCCAGAGTACAGACGCATACTGTGAAAGGAACCACAGAGCCTTCTTGGAATAAAAGTTACAACTTGTAAGTACCTATAGAAATAAGCACGAGTCAGTATATCTTAGTATAATAAAACAAGTAGTGTAAGTCCCGCCTGTTTGGAGCGTCCTATAGGCAATAAAATACCTATAGGCATACCTACAGGTTGCAAAACATAATTAGAAAATTAATAATAATAGGATTATAACTTAATGTAATACAATACATGTAAAACAAATGTAAATAATGCCAAGATAGTATAAAAATAAACAATAAAAAGAGGAACAAAAAAAAGAACCATACATAGTCGCACCAGAGCTCCTTGTGAAAGAGTTCGTCCAGGGTAGTACTGCCTACTTACCTATTTCTGCCGTCAAGCAGTAATGTCGTCGTTACTGTGTTCGGGTTTTGAAGGATAAGGATGCTGGTGAAATTACAGGCACATGAGACTTGTCCACTTATGTCTCAGGGTGACGGGCGCAGTGGCAGTACCCCTCAGATCTTTGTCATTTAAAACTCGTAAGTGGCACTGCAACTGTTATGGACAGGCGTGTAGCTTACCATCAGACGCACGACTTGTTCGGCCCGTCACTACGTGTCATTAAAAAAAGAAGAAAAATTCACTATACATTCATTATAAATTTATAAATTTAATCTTAGAACCTAATGGTGCGATGCCTAAACTAAGTAAATGAGTACCTATCTGTATTTTCGGCATCTTCTTAGTGCATTTTTTCTTTATAATACAGCTTAAAAACAGATTTATTCATCACAGTGTTCACGTGCTAGATTAATTAATCGTCCCGTCATCGATATTGATAAAAAAAATAGTCAAATGCAGTACCTACTTATGTACGCGCTGTGCAACTCGAGGACATGGGCGCGGCAGGCGTGCACAAGACGCATTGCTACGTTTGTATGGAGTTACACTACTTATCTTATTATACTATTTCTACTGCAGTATTCTATACTGAGGATTCTATATAAGAACATTTCATGTACGTTTAACAATTACTTTTTTAACAATTATAAATTCTCTGTTTTTCTTATCTCAGCACAGTTAACGATATCACATCGACTCTGGATATGACTGTGTACAATGAATCGATAATCAACAGTTCGATGGATGCGATAATTGGAAAGTTATCTATTCCCCTACTGCGGATAAACAATGATGAGGTACGATGGTATGCGTTAAAAGATCGCGCGAAGAAAGGTAGTGCCAAGGGAAATTGTCCTAGGATACTGTTGCAGATGTCTGTCGATTGGAACCCGGTAAGTCTTCTTATTATGAGTGGTTTTATGATTAGCCTGATATACCGACTCTTTGCTGTGTTCAGTATTTCGGCTATATTGTTCCCGTTTGAACGTATGAACGTAGCTAATGATTTACACAAAAAGTCATTTACGTAGCTCACATCCGAATTTCATGTTAATGTTAGTAACAGGAGAGCTCCTGAAAGCGTTCGTCCAGGGAAGTACTACCAACTTACCTACGTGACGATGTGACCTCCTTACATCGTCATCACACCCACCTTTTTGTCGCTATTTCTTCGGTTCCTGGCCACTTGTTTTTAAATTTTGAATTGTTCTGTAATTCATTTGCCTCGCCATTCTGATTTTGTTTCGTTCCATCGCCACTCCCGGCTCAATCACTGAAACGAGCAGTCCGACTATTCTTCAATATTTGATCCGTTTACCAGTTAACAAAAATCTCTTGTGCGATAAATATTTAAAAGATCACAAAATAAAGTAAAACCGGATTTATTTCCACTATTTCTTCTTCCTTTTAAATTTTGAACTTTTAAACTCGCTAAGCAAAATGTGTGAAAGCTGCGGAAACTGCGGAGGCTACTACGCTCTCTGGGCTACATTACAATCCATAGGACATGCTAAAGCGGTACCAGTAGCGGTACACGCGTTTCACCTATTTCTGCCACCAGGCAGTAATGTGAGCATTACTTCGTTCTAGTTTTGAAGGATAAGGGTGCTGGTGAAATTACAGGTACATAGGATTGTCAATTTATGTCTCAGGGTGACGGGCGCAGTCACAGTGCCACTGAGGGGCAATGTGAGGGTCTTTGCGATTTACATAATAAAGCTGTGAGCGGCTGTGCAACTGTTATGGACAGTCGTGTCGCTTACCAGGCGCACGTTTGTTAGTCCCGGCACTTGGTATTAAAAAAAATGTGCCACCATTAGATACAGGTTCAAACGTAAATTTTGTTTTTACATCTTTATTAAGAATGTGTATTTTATATTTTTTCAGGTAACAGCTTCACTAAGGATCTTGAGTCCGAAAGAGACGAAGTACGTAAAGAAGCGTGAGAAATTCAACATTCCATTAATTTATAGCAATTTGAAGTTTATTAAGGACATCTTCAGCAACATTGCTGTATGCAACGAGCATGTAAAGTAAGTACGTCTAACTTATTAAATATTCTTGTGAAATATAAATAAACGAAGTTTAATTTGTTATTTAGGTCGTTGTTCGAAGGCTTAGTCACAAGAAGAAACAACATTTTGTCTACAAACATTTTACGCGATCGCTAGCGATAACTGTCGCTGCAATCTCATGGTAGAGGCACTGATGATATTGTTATTTCTGTTTTGTATTGATGTGTGTGGTAATAAATGGTGTAAATCATAAGTTCCCAAAGTGGTCCCTACCGCCTCCCAGCGGGCGCTGAAAAGTCTTAGCGGCGGTAGGGACCTCGGAAGCAATTGGAGGGCGTTGATGCCGTACAAGGGGTGCTACCGCATTTGAAAAAAAACCTGAATTATCTATCTACATAAACTACACTATACAATAATTATATTATTTTCCAGAGTATTTTTTGTATTAAGTTAATATAACATGTGTGTTTTCAATATTTTTTTGTAATAGTGGGCTTTAAAATTTTTTGTGTCTGGTCTAAGTGGGCGGTGAGCCAAATATTTGCGAACCTACGGTGTAAAACTGATCGAGCCAGCACATCTTACGGATTTCTCAATGGGCTTTAGGCGCTAAAACGGCTTGTTTGCCGTAACGCCACCTGTGAGAACTTATAAAAGTTTCTTTACCATCCCAAGTACCTTTACAACTACTAGAAGAGTGACAGAGATGTTGCTATACTAATTGCAATATTTTTATGTTTATTTAATATCGAGACGAGTTTATTAACATTTTCGTAGATGAATAACATTGTAGTAAAAAAAAACATTACGATCTTCAATCAAAATAAAAATACTGCTGTGACATGTTTTCATCTAGTTTTCCTTTACCTTTAGTTATCATTTGTTTTAATTAGTTGTTAGATACTGTTAGATATTTTTGGACAAATTATACATATATGATAGAATGTATTTTAATTGATTTTTTTAATGCAGACATTTATTTGAATGGGACGATCGCCAGAAGTCAGCAATCTCGTTAGCAGTGTGGCTAGTTTTTTGGTACTTCATGCAACTGTGGATGATGCCTCTGCTGTTGCTCGTACCCTTCTTATACAAATGGCCAAAATACAGAAGTTGTAGTAAGTTTCTACTTTTCTTGTTTTTTGCTATAGTAAGTATATGTTATGATCGTGTGACATTTGAGTTTCATTTTTGATTAGTTTTTGCAAACATTAATTACCTATTAATTTTAATAAAAGCATTTCTCTTGATTTAGTTATTTGTATTTTTATTAATTTATTGTTATAAAGTCATCAATTCAGTCAAATAACTATGAAATCTTAACATAACGTCCTGTACTCTGATCTTACTTTGCCATAGTCAACTATTGGGTCATCAGAGATTTTCTCTGTCATACACTGGTACATTTTTAGAGGTTGCGGAAAACTTGAATATTTTAATAATGTTATGATTATTTAACTTTTTATAGTTTCTAGAAGATAAATGACAAACCGTTTAATATGTTTACATTCCTAGGCCGTCAGTGTGGCTAATAATTAAGTACTTTTCTGGCAAAACACGTGATTTTTCATCTAAAAGCGTCAACCACTGGTACGTTTACCCTAACGTAGTCGAAAGGCAATAACGGAACAATCATTTTAACGTTATGTACATTTAGTTCTATGAAATAGATTACAGTTAGTAGGTTTGTTTATATGTTTTGTTTACAATTTCTGATTTACAAAATATTCATTATATTGCAAAAAAATTATTTATTTGTTCATATAAAAATAATTTATTATTAATGCGTTGGTTATTAATTCACAGATAATACAGCCATTGTTCCTGTCTACAATCTAGATGATGACACGCCCGAAGATGTGGACAGTAGAGTATGTTTATTTCTTTTATAATATGTGCTAGGTAACCGCCTTGTCTTAAACTAGGGCATTCCCTCTACAATGAGTACTCTACAATTTACAAAAGTCCGTTGCCCAAATGGATCCTACGGGGAATCGAACCCGGGACCTCCGCATCCGGATGGCGCCCACAGTGTAAACCGTTAGGCCACCGAGGTCCTCCTCCACATCATAGTTCGCATTAGTGCAATAATTACATACACACATAATGCATATGGGGGGCACAGGGAACCCTCCGTTACATTTAAATAGGTTAAAATGAACTCCACGCCGCCGCCTGCATATTCGTTCAAACTTTTATACGAAAAATCTATGTAAGTATGTTCCAACAAGAATGAAATCCAATAAAATAAAATACATACAGTATGGAATATTTAATGAATATCACTAAGTTCATACGTATATACGAGACTTGTAGTTGCAAAAGAGATGAATACATCTACTTCACACCTTAATAGAAATTAAATTTAAAAAATCAATTTATTTTTAAAGAAAAAATAGTTGTATACAAACTTATAGAAGAAAAACAAATTCAAATTTTGTATCCTCAATCGTCGAAAAGTCAGTCAGAGGTCAAAAAATTATGTGAGAAACTTTGAGGGTCGTATTCCAGAACTCTACTCAATACTCAAGTCAGGACTTGAGTATTGCAGTGAGCACTGAAAATCATACTCAAATCCTTGCCATTAGGGTCGTATTTCCAGTGCTTGAAATCATACTTAAGTCTGCTCAAGTCCTGACTTGAGCATTGAGTAGAGTTCTGGAATACGACCCTAAGTATTTTTGTTTTATTTACTTCTTTTTAATAATTCACACACATTACTCATTTATTTGGGGAAAGATAGGTTTTATAATTATAAACTAATTATGATACCACAAATCAGTCCTCGCTGCATTTACACTGCTATGTAGCACTTGCGATACAATTCGAACGCGGTATGATTAGACCCTAACTATACCTTTTTAAAAGTAAATATTGAAATTAATGTAAATTCTACGTCCTGTTCTGTAAGAGCGCCTTCAAATTAGACGCTTATAGAAGCGTTATAATGGCGTAGCGCGACGTCACTACAAATTTTTATACAATGTTTAGCAGCGCAGTTGCCGCCTCGGTCGTGACACGCGCGTGCTACTTTTGCAGTCGCTATTAGAGAACTAAAAATTATTGAATCGCAACAGACACGCGGTTGCCGCGCCATAGTCGTGCCACTGCAGTGCTTCTACAAGCATCTAGTTTGAAGGCTGCCTAAGGAACCACTAATGACCATTGTTCCGTTACTTGTTCACAGGATATCAAGACAACAATTAGAAGTCAAGTCTACGGTCTTCAGGAACTCACATTCACGATCAAGAACGCCATCGATTATATCGTATCTGAACTAGAAAGACTTAACAAGTAAGTGTGTTTCGCTCTTTGTTTGTGTTATATTTACCCTATGCTCTTCACATTAATAAAAACATAAACTTACAGATAGACAGACATAAAGACATAAGTCTTGTAAAGGGTTTTTCAATAATAACTTTGTTTTGTAAATTAAAATAAAACAATAAATTTAGATGACAATAATTCAAATTTTTATTGTATTAAAAAAAGTAAGGTTTGGCAATTATGAATGAAAAATGATATCTGATAAATGTCCACCACAACTAGTTACAGATGTCGATTCTATCATCAAAGTTTTTAAACACTTTTTGACAAAATGGTAGGTCTATTCACGAATTTTGAGTATTAAGGCCAATGTGTTTTGAGCCAATCGTTTCGATTGGCTTCGTATAGACTCTATGACATAACCGCATGAAAAATAATCCAGCGGTGTTAAATCACACGATCGAGCTGGCCACTTAACGGCTGAATTTCGTGAAATTGCATAATTGATGCTGAAGATCGGGAAATGTGGTTGGGACACCCTATTCAATTGCACCTTAACGGTACTCGAGTTGCTTGTATCGATTCGAAAACACAGACGCAAAACGGGAATTCCATTCCTGGAACTTTAATTATTTTATGATTAATATGAATTAATTAAAAGTCGTGGTAACCTAATGATTTGACCTACCGCCTATCAAGTAGAGGCCGTGGGTTCGAATCTGGGCGCGCACCTCTGAGTTTTCGAAAGTTATGTGCGAAATTTAATTTAAATTTTACCATAACGGCCTCCGTGGTCATATGGCTTACTCACCGGTTTTCATGGTGTCGCCTTCTCTAAGGTCCCGGTTTCGATGCCCGGCCGGGTCGCGTATATGGCTTTCCGTATACAGTACGTCCCCCAAGGAGAGGCGAGGTAGATACGCTTTTCTAAGGGACTAACCTACTGAAATACCGTACCCAGTATGTACCCTCAAAGCGACGAATAAGATACGCCTTTCCATCTACCGTATAAGTTTAAGCCATTAAAAACCCATATTTAGTACGACCACTAGGGGATAAATTAGGTACGGCTTTTCGTAAGAAACACTAGTAAGAAAGCGTCTCTGATTCGTCACAGCTCGAGTAATTGCTCAAACATAATATCTGCTATAACATAGAATTTATGTATCTATTAAAGGTAAAAGGAATACATTACAAAATTAATCATTATCAATATTTTCAATATTTATATATTTAAACAGTTTTTATCAAATACAAGATAAATTTATTAGCAGATTTATTAGGAAACAAACAAGTGCTATTACAGTCTGAAATAATTTTTCGAAGACAAAAATTAAATGTTATCTATTAAAATTGTAATAGAACAAAATATACTATAGAAATTAAGTAAGTGATGGTAAGTCATTCGTTCCTTCACACTTCAAAATTGAAAATCAGTCACAAGTTTACTAACTAGACCTGTAAATCGTCTTCATCCATTTAAATAATCATACTTCAAACACAAACGATATTAATTAAAAGTTATGCCGCGAATTATGTAAAAATACATGCAAGATCGAAATGAACTGTGACACTGCACTCGCGCGAAATCAGTTGTTATGAATGTTATTATTTCTGGCCTATTTCGAAACATGACAGTATCACCAAACATATGTACAACTAGTTAGAGCGTAAAGTTCTCTATTTTGTACGTGTTTATTGGTAATGTAGGTGAGACGAAGGGAGATAGCTTCCGTGTTTATTATTTGCGTTTCGCACTGTTTGATTAAAACAATAAGAGACAATTTCATTTGAACTACGTATGACTTTTGAGTTTTTGATTCTGGAATTGTTCGACGTGACGAATCAGAGACGCTTTTTTACGAGTGTTTCTTACGAAAACCCGTACCTAATTCGTCCCCTAATGGACTTACCAACTGCGGTTTTTAATCGCTTAAACTTATGTGGTGTAGCTGGAAAGGCGTATCTAATTCGTCAGTTCGAGGGGGTATACTGTGTACGGTATTTCTGTTATTTAGACCCTTAGAAAAGCGTACCGAACTCGTCTCTCCTTGGGGGACGTACGGTATACGGGAAGACATATACGCGGCCGGGTCAGTGTACAAAATAACTTTTCTATATTGTCTCGGGTCTGGGTGTTTTGGTACCGTCGTTGTTTCCGATTCCCATCACACAAGTGCTTTAGCAACTTACTTTGAGATCAGAGCAACGTATGTGATGTTGTTTGTTGTCTGATATAAGCTTTTCGGTGAAGGAAAACATCGCGATGAAACCTGCAAGTCGAAGAAAGATCATAACCCTCGGTAAAAGTGTGAAGTCCCCAAACCGCATTGGACCAGCGTGTCCAACTATGGCCTAAACCCTCGCTTGAGAGGAGACCCGTGCCCAGTAGTGGGACTTATAAATGGATTAGTGATGATGATGAATTAATTACATTTGGATCTCTTTGAAAACTCTTCGAGTGTATCACGATGAATTAAAGACGCTGTATACGTTATCAAGTTTCATGAAAAAAAATCTGACACTTCTTTCTTTTAGTCCCTCTACCATGAGTTTACTGTGACAGTTGTCGCTAGCGACCGCGTAAATTACTTCACTATATTGTAAGGCAAACATCGAGTATATAACTAGAAATTCAGAGTTATTTAATTTATTTGAAACCTATTCTGCCAAATGACCACTGCGCTCCGACTGGCCAGTCCGAATTGAAAACAATTGGCGGATGTTGTCAATTCAAACTTCAAATCGACCAGTTTAACTTGAGCTTTGCTATATAGAACGATAATTGAAAAATTATATATTTAATTACCGATGAAATGTGATTCCGTTTGTTTTATAATTAGATGTTTTGCTGATTTTCCCACACCACCGAATGGAACCATTGTTGGAGATATTATCTTTATTACAATTAATATATAATATTTTTGGAATATGCGGAGACGTACACACAGGTTTGGCGATGTACTATCTCAGCTTTCTAATTTGTGATTTCAGCGCAAACGAGAGTTGATATTTAAAAGTGATATAAGGCGGCATTTGCCTCATGAGTCGCCAGGGATGGCTGGCCCTTATTTCGTCTCTATTTCTAGTTATATACGCAATGATGGCAAATTATACAGCGCATCTAGCGGTCACAAGAAACAACAACATTTTGTTCAAAATTTTGCTCGCTAGCTTGTAAGTGAATGTCGCTAGCAATAAATGTCACCGTAATCACATCGTAGAGGCTGACTGATGTACGTTTGTGTAACTATTGACTTTCCTTTTTTCAGTTTAACGTCGTTTACTGTGCCGTATTTAAGTTATCTAATCATGGCAGTTCTGTTGGTGCTCTCCGTAGTGCTTTATTTCGTATCTATACGATATTTATTTATGGGACTAGGTATGTATAACTCTCTACTAGTCATCAAATATAATTAGAGCCTAAATATCACCAAAACCTTACTCACCAAAATCATGGAAAAAATTTAGTGAATATTTGATTAAAGAGTGAATAATCGAGCAACATATATTATTCTGTATAGGCCTACCGCAAAATGTTAGAATAACAAACGACCAGATTTTAAATTATTTCTAACAATACTTGTCATAAGTAATTTGAATTATACTTAACACGTATTTAAGTCGAACGACATGTTTAGAGCCAGTCCATGGTTCTTAATCATGACCTACCACGGCGGTGGCGGCGGTGACTCGACAAAAATTTATTTGATGAAAACTTAATATACGTGAATTATTCGTTAGTTTAGTTAATATGTTTTCTTTTTAAAATTTGAATTTGTTTCTCGTGATTTACTTTAAATCCGTAAATGAAAAATATTCTTGTTTATCATAAGTAATATGTATTAAATGTTTATATTCTATGGCGTATTAGTAATTACTAATTAATTACTTTAGGTGTTTTATATTGAAATATAGTTATATTAGGTAGGCAGGTAAACAAATGTCTAAATTGAAAATTGTAAAATGTACGTACTTATATTAAAATGCCAAGATTTGTTTGCCTTGTGAAAATTTCTTCTTTTTAAAAATTTTATTTCATAAGTTCTGCTTGACCCTACACCTCTAAGTAATTTAAGACGTCTTTGAAAAAGAATCTTTAAAAAAAAAGAATATTTATGCTCAAAAATATTTTATGTAAATGCGATATTATTACGCCTTCTGTTTACATATTATCTACATTTATTATACTATAGCCGACCCAAGGGTTCGTAGGATTATTATATAATGTATTTTTATTTATGACACGTATTTTTCGCAGGTATTTATAAGTTTACGCGTAAAGTGTTAAACCCAGATAGAGTTCCAAACAACGACATCCTAGACTTCCTATCACGGGTACCCGACAATGAGACATTGGTAAGACATTAAATAATTACTCGTATAATAAAAACTAGGTTGTAATAATGCAAAGATCGAACACAAAGAAAAATTCCTTCGATCTGACAGGACTCAAACCTGCGTCTCTTTGGCCAATCTAGGGCGACAGCCTGTGGAGGTGCTGTAGGTGCTGGGGGCGTTCTGGGAGATTGTAAAGGTGTGTAGCCTGGATAGCAGTAATAGCCTCCGCAGCCTCGCAGCCTCCAACATCTTATTTAGTACATTTAGCAACTCAAACGTTGAAAGTCCAGTTTATAGATATTTAATCGGTTTATTTATTCGGTTTTAACAAATATAATCTTTAAAATGTAAACTGTATAAATATAGCTTGTAAACGATTCAAAAAGATAAATAATGGTCTGTTCACTACCGCGGTAGTGCAGAGAGTGACGATGGAAAGAAACAAAATCAGAATGCGAGGTAAAATGGAACAATTTTAAATTTAAATATAAGTAAAAGAAGAAAAAACGATACGATACGAATGGAGAGAGGCGATACAAAAAGGTGGGATGACGGTATAAGGAGGTCATACCGTCACAAGCTCTACCAATTGAGCTACAGATCGTACCAGCTGACCTTACGAATTTTTCTATGCGTTTGTTACAGATCTTTGCTTTTTGTTTCAACGGCTTTTTTATCGTGGTGCCATCTATGGGAAATCCATGAAAATTTTTCTTCGCTCAACCTATCATTGCAAATTAATGGAGTAATTTCACAAAAATAAATGAATATCATGATAGTAAAACATCATAAAATTCATTACATTCAATATTATAATAAAAACTGTTTTTTATTTTATATTGAATATAATCATGACGTTTTTCCTACCATTATAATAATTTGTTTTTTAAATACTTCACTATTTTGCAACACAGACAAATTCCTTCAATCCGACAAGACACGAACCAATATCTGTTGCCTCACCGTGGCTACCGTTCTTGCCAACTAAGCTACAAGAGCGAGTCAGTAGATATTACGAATTTCTCAGTGCTTGCTACGGAACCAGTAGGATTTAAGGAATTTTTCTTTGTGTTTTTTCGATTTTTATATTAATAACAACTGTTTTTATTGCTTAAATACTTTACTAAAATATTAGTTATGATTGGTTTTTTACTAAAACGGTTGTTGAATTGTTATTTGAAATTCATTAGCTACATATATCTATACTTATCTACTTCTATCTATACCCACATTCCTTTGTTATTACAATACATAAACTACTTCTTTGGATTAAGGTCGCCTTCAAATTAGACGCTTGTGAAGCGCTGCGTCTGTGGCGCCACAACTAGATATTGTATGAAAATCTGTTATGGCGCCACAGACGCGCCACTACTGATTTTCATATAACATCTAGTGGTGGCGATTTTCGAATCTAGTCTGCAAAAGTGGCGCGACTACGGCGCTCAGTAATTTCTACTTCACTAATTGTGACTGCAAAAACGGCGCGGCTGCAGCGCCACAAAGGTGCCACTGCAGTGCTTCTAAAAGCGTCTAATTTCAAGACGCCGTTTTATTCCCTATATACTATTATAATGTTAATTTTTGTTTCAGAAAGAATGGCTCGAGTTAAAAGTTCCCGAGCCAAACCTGAGTGTTTCTGACTCGATTAGAAGACGAACGACCGCGAATTAATGCTGGTAGCGTATAGGTAAAGGTGAATGGATTAATCCCCTTAAGTAACATTGAAAATTTGTAATATATAATATCCTAGTTAATTACGTGGTATCCTGTTAAGGGTGTGTTGAAATAGTTCGTCTTGGGAATTGCTGCTACCATACCTATTTCTAGCGTAAGAGGTGTAAGTAATGTGAGCATTACTCCGTTCCGGTTTTGAAGGGTAAGGGTGCTGCTGGAATTACAGGCACATGGAACTTTCGACTTGCTCGCATTAATGCTTGGCGGCAGAATAAATAAGGTGGCAGTACTTCATTGGACGAACTCTTGTACCAAGAGAGCTACAGCTACTCTCCTAGTTAAGCATAAAATTTATGTACCTATTCATTTTGTTCATAGAATCTATGAACCTCTCTCCTGAAAAGTTATCACTTTGCAGATGGCCTTGTTACACCAATGGTGCTTATGAAATAGAAAAGAAATATGGTACATAATGTATATAACACTTAAAAGGATATCAGATAATAAATTAGGACTTTATATACAATTTGTAACACTATGGATAGGTTGACTTCCCTTGATGAAGTCTTCCTGGTCACTATGTATTACTTTACCTAAGTCAGATAAAGCAAGTGTAAATGCAAAACATAGATAAGTAAGTTAGTGGAGATTTAATGAAACTGTAACTTGGACAGTAAACAGAGGATTTCAAAAGCGAAAATTATCGAGTAATTTCTGTTACACCTAGTATAAAAAAAATTAGCACGTTTAATGTCGAACAAAATCAATTTTTTGTCTTAAAATAGATGACGTGAGACGTTTGTAAACAAAAATCGTAAAGTAAAATTTGATTGTTTACAATGTTTGATATACGCTGTACCTATGTCTAAGTATTAGGCGTTAAGTTATGTGCAGAGATCGAAATATAATAAATTTCCAATAATACACATAGAGTGGAAAATACCTCTGAAATGCCGTTATGATTACAAATAAAAGAAAAAATAAAACACTATAAAAAAATACATGTAAATAGAAAAACTACCGTAAGACTCGGACACAATAACTAAACTAATGTTGAAGTTGAATTTGTGCTCGACGTGTTTCGAACCAGTCCATGGATCTTAATCATTAGTTTCCACGACGATGATTCGACGAAATCTGCGCCCCAAAGCCTTGACAGTCAGGTCATTCGGTAAGGGCGCGGCCGCGGTCGACTGAGGCGAGCAACTACCTTGTTTATTTCATTCATATTAACGCCATTTGTAGGATTGCAAACTACACTAACCACATCACGTTCTAAAGTCTCATCCACACTAACTGACGTAGTGCCTGAAACTATTTTCTGCTGCTGGAGGGTACCAACCGTCCATTACCACGATTAAAATTCGAACGGCGACCAATCTCTGATAGCTTCACGTATTTTTCACGGAATGAAATGCTTTTCTCTCGTCGGTACGGACACTATCAAAACGAATAATATAGTGTTCCGTTACTGCATAACCCCGGCTCAACTGGTTTTTCATATTATGTAGGTGTTCCTTCGTAGGTCATGTGTTACGGCCAGTCTCTCCCTATGTGATTATTGCCAATATAGTTATATTTTTACAAAATTTTTACATTGTTATAAAATAGTCCCGGAATTTCAGAGGGAGGTATTATTCACTCTATATATTACTTGAAGTTTACGTAAATATACTGTGCCACTCCGATGTCTAGTTGTGTCTTTTAATTGTTGAAAAAGGAAACTTGCCCAACAATAGCCTATAGCTGTAGTCAAATAGTGGTATTCATAAGCTCAATAAAAATGTGATCCTTAGTTTGTAGAATAAAAATTATTTTTACAATTTTCTTCAGTTTTTTCTTTAATATAAGATCAGATTGAATTGGACTGAAATGGGCTGGATATAGCTACGAACGACAGATGGTCCAAAACCGTAACGAATTTGTACCCTATACATACCTACTTAAAAAGCGTACACCCGGAAAAGCACGCAAAAATATGGAGTGATGACGTACTTAGAATAGCAACTAAAGTATGAAGCAAAGCCGGTAGATGGCCCGTAGAAACACAAAAAGGTGGAAGGAGCTGGAGAAGGGTTTTACTGCCGAGTGCAATTCCTATATAAAAAAAGAAAATAGATATTTATAAATATACAATTAACTACCTAATTACTGATATTCAAAAAGAAAAATATAATTAAAATGAATATGAAATAAATTATGGAATACTTCTACAATCTACTAAATATTACTTAGCACTTCAGTTTTTTTACCGTTTGTAAAGTCTGAAATAAATTTGTATTACTTTTTACTATCTTATAAAAATAATAAAAAACATTTATTTTCACTTCTCATGCTCTTATCGTATTTATACTGGGTGTAGGCTGCATAAAATACGATTTTATGCTCTAGGATGGCTCTAGGGCATAAAATAAAATCGTCGTTTCAGACCGAGGCAATGACGCCTGCGCCAACAGCCACGCACACTAGAACTTTATAAAATAAAGTTTTATTTTTGTTTTTTAATCCGTGTAATATTACAAAATAAAAAAGTAGGCATTAGTAATTCTAATAAGTTATAAGAAATAGAAATGCATAAAAAGTACAAGCTTGTAAAATATAACTGAGCATTATGTAGTCCGACCTGAGTCACGTGTAGAAAAAAAAAAGTAGTACATTGGCGGAAAGTTCTTATTTTTCTTGGTGATAGTTGTGTTATCGTTTATTTGTAATATTGCTTATAATTTTCTCGCAATCGAAGTGAAAAGCAGAGTGTATAACTCGTTCATAAAACTCATTTTTCCCTCGACTTAAGTATCCACGTAATATAGTAATAAGTGGATATACTTGTTGGGTACGATGACGCGTTTTATGCACTTGTTGTACAATCTACAATTGTTAAAAACGTAATGTTGATAAGTATTACGTTTATCGAAAGTCACTCCTCAATATAAACGTGGGTAAAGATAGGACTCGCTCGCCTGGAAAGATATATCTTCACTCTGACTTTAAGAATATGACTTCGTTCCCATTAATTCTATTGAGTAGTCCCATTATAAGTTCCTTTTAATTAAAAACGTTATTTTACTAGTCGAGCTGTGAAATTTTGTACTTCACAGTCAACGAAGTTAACAAACGGATTCATATTTGATAGCTCTGCAAAAGTCCGACGTCTGGCTTGAGCCTTTGAATGTACTCACATTATTGATTTTATTGAATATCATGATGTTAGTGTTTACCTAATTTTGGTGACAATTTTTATTATTTAATTATTCGAGTATATTATCGTAAAAATTTTATAATATTTTCAAATACTACACTCGAATATTATGTAATACTTCACGATAATATTGTAGAATATTTAAATAATAAAAAAGCCGCCGTTACACATAGGAAATGAAACTATTTTTCCGGATTTAAATCGCGTATATTTGTTTTTTCAAACAAACCGACGTTTCGGGCCCTTTACAGATCCCATGGTCACGGTTAACT